CAAATCCTACCAACATTACTTTGCATTAAATAATATGAATAACTAGAATAATAAAATGATTATGAGTTTTCTTATCTGCAGATTTCACTATCATCATCACGCACGTAAATCTAAATTATCTCAATTAAAAAGGTTTTGAGATACTTTAAACTTTTCAGGGTGTGGACTGTATTTGTTTGAAATTAAATTGATTTTTTACGGTCTAAGTCGTATGTGGCAATTTTCTCAATTTGTATGGGCGCTAAGTTATTCGGTACTAGTCGTTTTTAACAATTTTCTCCTTATATAGCAACAGATAGAAGTAAGATTAGTAGCGATCAAAAGCGCTTTTTATCGCATTAAGCCTATACCGCCTTTCATTTTTCGCGAACACTCCCTTTAAAGGGTGCCGAATCGTAAATTGGGCATTGCCATGTTTGAATGTTTGAAATTGCACGTACACTCCCTTTAAATCATGGAAGGGGATGGATACAAGAAAGGGAAAGGGAAATTGTAATTGAAACTTGAATAGATTATCACTTTCTATGTTTCTTGGAAAATGAATTTGACCGGTTCTAATCTAATGAAACAGTCATGTTTCGTGAACACTCTGTATCTTAGAATCTAAAGACATTTATTTTTTGATAAGTATATTAAATTCAAAGTGCCTTTCTAAATTTCTTAATTCGTAATTATTTAACAGTGCTCGTTTTTTTCTATTTTAATCCTTAAATATGAAAATCAACCAAACTTCAAATAACGAATTTTAATTACATTTATGCAATAGTTCAGTTCCAGAGAAATTAATATAAAAGTTAATATAATCCAGATTTATACATGCAGAGAGAGCTAGATTAGTATTTTTATGAAACCCAACACAAAATAAGAATTGTAAATGAAAAAATTAATTAGTTCATCAAATAAAAAAACAACACTTTTGATCGATTAGAAAATGCTTGGATCTGTATATTCGAATAGGATGAGATTTTAATAACGTTCAATGATCTGAAAGGGATCCACAACACTGCCCTTAAACCTCTTATCTCTAATATTTGTCCCTTTTTATCTTGAAAAGTGTTAATTTCTCAGAATATCTTTTATTGTTTCTACAGTATAAATCTGCAAGTAACTTTTACAGAAAACCCACAATTGAAATTTCAACTTGCAGTAGTAAAAAAATCAGATGTAGTTGTAAAAGTACAAAATCACAACTGCGTACGCATATCCCATATGCGTACGTCTAATATTGAGTATGCGACATCTCCTACAGGGTGTCCCATGAAACATAACAGTTGCGAGACGATTTGAAAGTCGTCTTTGATCTTTGGAATTTTTTAAGACATTCATTCGTCAACCTTCTTTCACATGTTTGATTTTAGAAACAATTGCCACAAAATTCATCTTGTCCTGGGATTTCTAAAATGTAGATGTTTGGTCTATCACTAACACCTTATTTTAAATCGTCTGACTTTTTTTTGTGCTGTCAATACTATCGAAGTTATTGAAAATTTCGTTCAGATTTCAATTTTATTAAATTTGGTTTAAGACTAAATGTCGTGCAATTTTTCAAACGTCTTAGGCGACCTGTCCTACTGTCCTGTTTCTTGGGACACCCTGTATCACAATATCACTTCGCTGGATCGGATTATTTTTCTCATTCTCAATGTACACTTCAGTCTTCATTCAGTTAAAGGGAATCGGCTGAAACCTAAGCACTTTAGGGGTCTCTGTCATTGATACTGCATTGCCATTGGTGGAAGTTATGGTCACGTGATACAGACGTTTCAATTATATTATCAATTATATCTATCAAAAATGAAAAATTATTAAATTCAAATAATAATAGGAGCAAACCTAAATTATTCAGGCTCCTCCATGGGTTATCACAGTTTGCATTTTGGTTACGTATTTGCTAAATATGATCTGTTTAAAACTTGGATTCTTATACTAAATCTCACATTTCCAATTTTTTGGTATAACTTGGACACAGTTCTATATCAATTTCTCGAGTCAGGAACATCAGATAGAACTCTTATAGGTATCGATCAACTCCTGAAGTGCTTAGGTTTCATTTTTCCTTAACAGTCCCTTAATCATAATGAAATATGTGTATTTAGAAGAATCAAGAAATCTTTACATAAAAATTGAACAGAAAGTGTTTTGTGAATATTTATTAGACTGTTTAGACATGTGGACTGTAGAGATAGGTATCGAATGTCCATGTTCTTGTCTATCTGCCACTCTGTCCTATTCCGTCCTATTCCGTCTTGCACAATACCCTCGGTTTCTAAACTAGATCCGGGGATATCTTGAACAGTAACAGTTTCTATAGATATCTGGGTGTATCTTAGAACAGCACAGGTTATTCGAGTATCCATATGTATATCTTAGAAAATCACACCAGCAGACTCTAGATATATCTTAGAGCAAAACAGCCGGGTTCTTTAGATATCTTGGTACATCTTAGTACAGTGCAGGTCCGATTAATAGATGGGCGTATCTTAGAATAGTACGTACTACGTGGGGCCTCTGGATATCTGAGTTTTTATCTTAGAACAGTAAAATTTCTGTATATATCCGGGTAAATCTTGCAGTCAGAACAGTAAAGGTTCTTTAAGATACAGGGTGTCCGACGAAACATGACAGTTGGTGAATAGTTTTGAATGTCTTCTCTCCATATACTGTATTAGATATTAAAGACTTTTTGTAGTTTATTTTGTTTTAAAGATATTTTGCTTAGAATTCAATTTTGCCGTAATATTTTTTACTATTCTCTTTGGTATCAAACAACTTAACAAATAATGGAATAAGACATTTTAAACCAGTCCCCAACTGTCATGTTTCGTGGGACACCCTGTATTTATTGACGGGATTCTATAGATATCTAGAAGCTAGATATATATCTTGGTGTAATGCAGGAATATATTTGTATGGTGCAGTTCTTCAGACATTTACGTGTATCCTAGACCCGTATAAGGTTTAATTTAGATTTTTCCAACTTACTTCGTATCATGATGTATTTTCCTGTTTTTAAACTTCATCCCCTGTTATATAAGATCTTGCATGAAGATTATAGAGCCCCCCCCCCCCTCCCCGATACAAAACTGTATTCTGAGTGGCGAGCATTCTTGTTAGAAGACGAAGGAAGGGTTTGCACAAAAACCAGGAGGAACCACTTTACTTAAATGAGTTTGAAAGCATGCCTCGCCTTATCTTGTTTTGTATCTGAAGAACCTGGTTTAACCCCTCTCACCTTATTAGCGGAGCTAACAAAACCCTCTCATTCCTACTTCTTTACGTCCTACATCTATTATATCCGTCCTGAATCCATTCTACATCTTGCCTTATCCATTCTATCCATCCTAGATTTACCCTATCAATCCTAGATCTACCCTATCAATCCTAGCCATCCTATCCGTCCCAGATCTATCCTGTCCATCCGGATATCCATCCTAGATCTAACCTATCCATCTTATCCATCCTAGATCTTCACTTTCCATCCTTGATCTATCCTATCCATCTAGATCTACTCAATCAATTCTAGAAATCCTAGACCTAGACTATTCGTCCAAGATCCTTCCTATCAACCCTAGATCTACCCTATCGGTCCTAGCCATCCTATCCGTCTGCTAATTAGTTAAGAGGCCCTATAATTAAAAAATGGCGCAAAGTTTCGCAACCAATTTATTTTGTACTCGGAAGTACGTTAAGGCAGGGGAGGAAGGCCAGCCACAGCAATTTCTAGTCCGAGCCACATTCTCCTCATTTTCTAGTCCAAGCCACCTCGAAATCCTCGTCCTTCAAATATTATCTTTTTAAAGTGTTTAATTCTCCAAGATAAAACAATTTTTTAAGAATCCGGTCACGTTAGAGCATGAACGAAATATTAAATTTTTGTAAATAGAAAGAAATACTTTCAATAGAATTTAAGTTTTTTAGTACAATGTCCTGAAAAATATTTACCATTCTTACGCTCATTTTCAGATAATCTAGGTATAGAATGCCACAAATAATTCCAAGTTTATAGAACTTTAATCTTTTTTGTTAATTTTAGCGGAAACCATAGAATTTTTTTTGGGTTGTTCCATGGGGAAAATTATAGGCAGAGGTATGCCCAATATTTTGCTATTTATTTTATTTTGTATTAAGAAGGTTAGCCATTACGGAAGCAGAAGAGATTTAAGTTTCACCTAATTAAAGTTTGACATCATTCTCATGGCTTTGAAGATTTCAACACTATGTAATCATTGCAATACTTTAGTATATCCATATTTTATGCCTAACGTGGCACGATTTTTAAAAGATAGCTTTATCTTCAAGATTTATAAACTTAAAAACACATAATAAGCGAAGGACGAGGATTTCGAGGTGGCTCGGACGAGAAAATGAGGAGAATGTGGCTCGGACGAGAAATTGTTGTGGCTGGCCTTCCTTCTCTCGTTAAGGTGGTAGGCGATTATATCGATAAAATTAAGACGACTTTCGATTTATTTCAAGCTTTAAACAGCATGGATACAGAAAACATTGAATTAGAGAGAAGTTGTCTATTAAAAAGCTTCTCTTTAATTGCTTGTAAGCTCATAATTCGAAAAAAGCTTGTTAGCAATTTAAACTTAAATAAAAGGTCGTCTTGATTATATTGCTATAATAGCCTACCACCGTATCAGAGATTTCGTCTCTTCGTTTGAGCATATAATAAATCTTCCATCGATTTTCTAGTTCGTATTTTCTGTAAAAATCCTCGAGTACTTTTTATATGAAAAAGTCTTACTATATGTAAAATTGTTTAGCTTTGAAAACATAATATTCAATTTTTAATAAATTATAGCTTTGCAAGTTTGATTTCTCACATTGATTATACAAAATATATAATGAGGAATGAATCCAATAGTTTTATATAACAAGAAGCAGGCGGACACGTAGGAATCATTTAGTGAGTCAGGTTTGGAGATAATTTAGGCAATTCCTTATTCTCTTGACACCCTGGACAGCTGGCAGATGGATTAGGAGAAATCAAATGATCAGGGTTCGTTTAGAATTTATTATTAGTTTTAAGAAACATCAGTAAAGGGGGTGATCAGTACTCAGGACTGAATAAACATTTAATTCATATTTAAGCTCATCACAATATTATCAAGATACAATATTAATAATAATTCACTAGGTTGGTTTTTAAACCCATAAAACCGTGATTTTTGAAACCCCCGATTATTCTAAATTTGTTGTGTTTGAATGAGAACCTTGAGAAGACCCATCAAACTCCCCTTAATCATAAAGATTCACAGCCAAGGTGTAGGAATCACAGCGGTACAAAAATAACAAAAAAACGTAACAAACATATTTACAAAAACAAGAAAAAAATATAAATTTAGTTTGGAGACTAGATGACCATGCATTTAAAAAAGATGAAGCTAGAGATGTAAAGAAAGAAAGCAAGGGTAAGGTTCGGGTTTAATAGGTTAGAACTAGACACGGAGGAGAGAGCCTGGAGACAGGGTCCTGTCTCTTGGAGCACCATTTGGGCAGGTTCAAGAGAACAGGAGGATATACTCACTCGACCCTGTCTCTCGGTATAGGACAGACATAACATTCTCTCCGTGTTTGTATCGGAGAGAATAAGGCGTGTCAAGCCCGGCTCAGTCCAGTGGGCGTGACATCTGTATTCTACATTGCTAAGGTTGGACTGGGAACATTTAGTCTCCACCCGGAGAAAAGGAGAACCGCAACCTGCCGTGATTATGGAGGTATCTGAAGAACTACATCTAGTGAAAAGGTGGGGGGTATCAGCTCCCTCTAGGCTCTCAAGAGAATATCTACCATTAAGAGGACACACTCCAGCAGAATGGGTTCTGGACACGAGAAGTTTTGATCTAGGGTTGAAGAAGTAAAGGTCTGTACATGCTTCACTTGGATTTCGAGATTTTTCTCCAAACTGAACTGAGATCACGTTATCGGCAACCTTACTGATGATTGCACAAACATACCCGGAGTCACAATCACTTTTAACATAATGAACCACCTTGACGGTATCCCTGTCCTGTTTAATAATGTCCTGACAGGTAAACTGTGATTCTCCGGGTTCCAGGTAGTTCTGGAAGGTTTGGAGTTTAAAACTCTTCTCTCCGGAGTTGACGTGAAGGTTTAAGGTTCCGTCCAGCGCAGACCAAGAATGGTGTCTGGAGAACCAGGACGGGAACAAACATCTCTCCCCGGAGCCTCCAACTGAAACAATAAGTTTTAAGCACGTCTTAGTTTAATTCAATTCAAGGGTTTAATCCCATTCTGAGAGAATTTTCACTCAGTCCCCCCTCCCCTCTGCACACACCAACTTCAAATGGTTAAGTTTGGATGTGGTTTGAATTGAAACCAATGAAAAGAGAAAATTGCTCGTTTTATTCTGTTCCCCTTTATTCTTCAAATTAATTAAATTGAATCCCCGAATTGAAGCAGAAAATTATTCAATGTATTCAACAGTTTTCCAACACACAGATTCTACAGAGAATACATATATAGAGTACTTACAGTTTCATAAAAGTACAAGTACATAGAATGACAGTACTACCAAATAAAACTTGAGTTTTAAAACAATATTAAATACATTAACATTCAAAGAGTGGAGTTATATTTTGTCTGTGTAACAATCCCTGACCTGAAATTGTATGCATCAATTGTCAGAGAGAATAACGAAGAAATCATCATCATTGATGTTTTATATTCTAATGGCAGCGTTGCAAATGATGATCTGGTGAAAATCCACAACCAATCCCTTTAAAGCTGACTAGGTTAGCTAGTAATGGGTGTGTAGAGTGTAAAGAGATAAATTCCTGGCAGAATACTGGTGGAGAGGAATCCTTGGTAGGAAACTATCTGGAGCCGGGTGTCAGGAATAACAAGCAATTCATTCTTCCGGTTCAAACATTCATATATCTACCAAACTATCTATATCTACCATACTATCTCGTATCTTTAATCTACCTTTATATAAATATCTACCAAACTATCTAGTATCTAGACTACCTATATAGATATACCTAACAAACTTTCTAGTATCTACCTTCATATATATCTAACAAACTGCATAGTATCTACCTTTATATATAAATATCTACCAAACTATCTAGTATCTACACTACCTCTATATATATATATATATCTAACAAACTATCATAGTATCTACCTTTATTTATATCCACTGAACTATCTAGTAACTATCTTTTTATTTATCTACCAAACTGCATAGTATCTACTTTTATATAAATCTACCAAACTATTTAGTATCTACCATTAAATATATATACCAAACTTCTTAGTATCTACATTTATATATCTACCAAAATGCATAATATCTGACTTAATATAAATCTACCTAACTATCTAGTATCAACCTTTATATGTCTACCAATCTACCTGGGTTCTACCTTAAAAAAAAGTTTATCTAGGACTAAAGTAAATTAATATTTCCCGAAAATCATTCAGATTTTAAACTTAATATTTATCAGAACTTTTCCCACAAGTTTTAAATTAAAAATAAACTGAGGTTGTTTCTGATTAATTTAAGAGAAATATTTCACAGAAAATTTATATTTTCATTTAACACATTTATCAAGAACTTAACATTAACCTTTATCTGATCAATAATGTGGAAGATCTCATCATTTTCTAGCTTAATAAGTGTTAAACTCTGACAATTAGTTCTGTCAATTGTTTCTGCGAAAGTCACTATTAAAGAGGACTGGACCACAAATAAACATAATAATTTTTCAAAAAGAAAAACATGGATATTGCATTCAATATAAGCTTTTCAGGGTACCGTTGTGAATCGGACATTGTGTACAGTTAAAATTACGTGTACACTGTACAGTGTCCGAATTTAATGAATTTGAACCGCGGCTTAAATCTGCCAAAAACCGGTTTCAATTGTGCGCCGGCTTAAATCTTGAAAAATTTGATACAATTTTAAGTGGAATCAACCATATTTGAGCAGATGTTTAAACTTAAGCCGCGGCTCAAATTCTTTAAATTCGGCCTCTGTTCCTTTAAGCAAAAACTAAACTGAGAAAAATTCATAAACTTTCCAACTTTTATCACTAGAACTGTCGCGTAAATTCTAAATTTAAAAATGAGGATTTAAAGTTGACATTCTTATTTAAAAGTTGAAATAAATGTGTAAAGTTGTGCTGGATATTGAAATCCCACGTTTCCAAGATACTTATGAGCCGTTGAAATGTAAAAGTTCTTATTTTAACGGTGTACTGAGAGCTGCAATGAAAGCTGAGCTGAAAACTGAAAAATTTGAATGATTTTGTTCCAACAGAAGGGGGGGGAATAGGAGGATGAGCAAACAGAGAATGATTGGAAAAGGAATAAGATGAGGAGAGAGGAAAGAATGGAAAGAATACAGGAAAAGGAGTAGAAAGAATGGAAAGAATACAGAAAGAGGAGGATTGGAAAGGATATAGGAAGATGAGAAAGGATGGAAAGAAAACAGAAAGAGAAGTAGAAAGGATGAAAGGCATACATGAAGAGGAAAAGGGATGAAAGGAATACTAGAAGAGAAGAAAGAATGAGAATATAAATGGTGTTGAGTATAGCAATATATGATTGTGGAAGGGAATAGAGTGTATAATGAATATTTAAGGTTTTATGTTTATTTAGAGAATATGTCACAGAGCCTGAGATTTTATACTCTGAATACAACATCAATATTTCATGATTTGTCGGACGGATTATATACTCATTTACTATCAAAGTTAACCATAATAAATCAACATATTTCTCAACTACATACATTAGATTAGATAAACAAGATAAAGAGTATTGATGGCGGGAGATAAGAATTTTTACAGGAAAAGAAAAAATTAGAATAACAAAAAATATAGAGGAAGAGAGGGTACAAGGGTGTATACAGGAATATGTACGAGAGGGTGAGCTTGTTTTAACTTCTCCCAGTCCCAGGGGACTTAGCCCTATAGTACCCCCCCCCACCTATAAACGCCCCTAGGAGGGTCACAGGATACATGGGAGGATATCTAATAAACAGGGAGATATGCTTAGAAATCCTTAGGTCGTAAATCTTGTTAAATTTCTCACAATATTTCATGTTCATGATAAAGCTGAGAATACGGATAGATTTCTAAGTATGGTCCTGCAGAAAAATAAAGATAATTTTAATGTTAATCAGATAATTCGGAGTAAGGAGAAATTGCATGAGTTTTGCCCCAAGGTTGAAATACAAGATTAGTTCTGTGTAAGAACTGTCTGTATTCAGGAAACCTATTTCTTCGGTGGGAAGAAATTTGGACCAATTTGGCAGTAGGGATATACGAGATTAAAGACGATCAGTGTAATCCTTCTGGGGTACTTAACTCTCACACCATCCTTCCTTTAATAGTTCCTTTCCTTTCTGTCTTTCTTCTGTATTTATCCTCCAAGGTATTTAACTCACACACCATCCTTTCTTTAAAAGTTCCTTTCCTTTCTGTCTTTCTTCTGTATTTATCCTCCAGGATACTTAACTCACACCATCCTTCCTTTAATAGTTCCTTTCCTTTCTGTTTTTCTTCTGTATTAAAAATATTTCTTAATCTTAACATTTCCTTTAAATTTTTAGTCAAATAATACCTTTTTTACATTATGCTTAAGGTACCATTCCCTGCAATACTGTAGTCCTTTTTTTATTATCGTTACCGTCTCCAGCATTCATGTTAACCTTTCCTGTAATATTGATACCCTTTCCTGTGATATTGTTACCCTTTCCTGTAATATTATTACCCTTTCCTGTAATAATGTTACCCTTTCCTGTAATATTGTTACCCTTTCCTGTAATATTGTTACCCTTTCCTGTAATATTGTTACCCTTTCCTGTAAATATTGTTACCCTTTCCTGTAATATTGTTACCATTTCCTGTAATATTGATACCCTTTCCTGTGACATTGTTACCCTTTCCTGCAATATTGTTACCCTTTCCTGTGATATTGTTACCCTTTCCTGTAATATTGTTAGCCTTTCCTGTAAATATTGTTACCCTTTCCTGTAAATATTGTTACCCTTTCCTGTAATATTGTTACCCTTTCCTGTGATATTGTTACCCTTTCCTGTAAATACTGTTTCCCTTTCCTGTAATATTGTTACCCTTTCCTGTAAATATTGTTACCTTTTCCTGTAAATATCAATACCATTTCCTGCAACATCGATATCCTTTCTTGTAACATGGTTCCTTTCCTTCAATACAGTTATCCTTTCCTTCAATATAGTTATCCTTTCCTTCAATATAGTTATCCTTTCCTTCAATACAGTTATCCTTTCCTTCAATATTGTTATCCTTTCCTTCAATATAGTTATCCTTTCCTTCAATATAGTTTATAGTTATCCTTTCCTTCAATATAGTTATCCTTTCCTTCAATACAGTTATCCTTTCCTTCAATATAGTTATCCTTTCCTTCAATACAGTTATCCTTTCCTTCAATATAGTTATCCTTTCTTTCAATATAGTTATCCTTTCCTTCAATACAGTTATCCTTTCCTTCAATATAGTTATCCTTTCCTTCAATATAGTTATCCTTTCCTTCAATATAGTTATCCTTTCCTTCAATATAGTTATCCTTTCCTTCATTATAGTTATCCTTTCCTTCAATATAGTTATACTTTCCTGCATTATCTTCACTCTTGTTAAGACTTTATATCCCATTTCTGAAACTTTTCATAGTCCAAAAATGTAAAATCCTGCCTTTCATATCCCACAAATATTAGTCTGATTGCCCTCCCTCCCAGTGTTCTGATACTATCTCCGTTTTACTTGAAAAGAATATCTGAATCATATCCGTATATCATTGAATGATAAATGTATATCGTGTGCGATATGTTTTATAAACTCATTTTTCTATTTAGATAAAAGAATTTTTCCAGTTGAATAATATTATTGAATAGAAAATATAGTTCTATCAAGTACATACTATAGTTAGCTAATATATCATATCACATGTAAATACGCAAAAATATAGAAATAGGAGGATTAAATAAATGTCAATTGTCGAAGAAATTTCAAGTAACCCTCAATTTAAAGATTAGCATGCCCGATAATCTACGGAACCCTTTTAACCTTCGTATGAGCAGCAATGACGAAGAAATTCTTGTTTTCTGTCTAAAATGAGAATATATTCAGAGGATTTTCTCTAAAAGCTAACTTGATTATTAATGCATCAGAGACAAAGAAGAAAATAAACAAAACAAGCAACAAGATAGAAAAACGACAATATATTCCTCCTTGTTGGTCAGTTACCGTTGCAATTCGGGCATACATGAAACTAAACTATTGAAAATGTATAGTTATAAATTCTATATATATTCACCTCTCTCCATATCGAAGACTCTGTATCCCTCTGCTGGGGACCAGAGACCCTCACAAGTTGCTGAACTACTCTGAGCCATCCGAACCGTCCTGTTCCCTGCCTTCCCATGCTGTTCATATACAAAGCATCTATACCGTCTCTCCTCATTCCTTCTATGTTCATGTTCAAGTTCTCCGACAAAATAACTTTTGGAACCCTCATTCCAATTTGCTATACACTTCAACTGTTCGGATGTACTCTCTGAACCCTGAACATCTGTACAAGCTTGGTAATGCAGTTGCAACCTGTTATGGTCTTTACATGTGTCCATATAGCTCTTGGGATAGCTACAGGGGCGTCCAGTACCTCCTTTAGCATAAGAGAACATGAATGGACCCTTGAGCGGACACTGTGTAGCCGCAGCATCCTTTCTGAACATGGAGAACATAGAACCATCTCCAGGTATTCGCATACATAGCTCTTCAGGATATACAAACTGGGACTTGTACTCACAGTCACCTAAACATATCATAGATTAAAGTATAAATAGAAACCTGAGTAGTAGCAGAACCTATTATATGTAGTATAGAATCTAGAACCTGTTATATCTAGTAAAACACCTGGAGCCTAGTATATTTCTAGTGTAGAACCTAGACCCTATTATATCTAGTTTAGAACCTAGATCCTAATATATCTAGTGTAGAACCTAGAACCTATTATATCTAGTGTAGAACCTAGAACCTATTATATCTAGTGTAGAACCTAGAACCNGGAGGGAGATGTAGGATGGCGTAGGTCAAGGAAGGAGGGAGGTGTAGGGTGGGGTAGGTCAAGGAAGGAGGGAGATGTAGGATGGCGTAGGTCAAGGAAGGAGGGAGGTGTAGGGTGGGGTAGGTCAAGGAAGGAGGGAGATGTAGGATGGCGTAGGTCAAGGAAGGAGGGAGGTGTAGGGTGGGGTAGGTCAAGGAAGGAGGGAGATGTAGGATGGCGTAGGTCAAGGAAGGAGGGAGGTGTAGGGTGGGGTAGGTCAAGGAAGGAGGGAGATGTAGGATGGCGTAGGTCAAGGAAGGAGGGAGGTGTAGGGTGGGGTAGTTCAAGGAAGGAGGGAGATGTAAGGAGGTTAAGTCAAGGAAGGCCCATTTATAACAGTCCACATATTTACCAGTTTAAGATCAAACCTGTCTGAGATTTAACAATAAATGTTTAAAACACCACGATTTAACTTGAAACTAAATGCTTTATTTAAAAAGTTGAAAACTAAGGTTTCTTGGTTTTGTTAATATTTGATACCTCTGCGCCTACCCACAGCCCCGAGGTACTATACTAAACAGAAAACAAGAGGAAGAAAAGAAAAAGAAATAATGGATTTTAAACATTTCACAAAATTACTTCTGTCTAAATTCATACTAAATGCATGTATACAAGTTTTGACATAAAACGCAAAATTCCAACTAAACATTTTGTTAAAAAAACATGTTTTAAAAACAATATGAAAAAGTTATTAGTTTTAAATTTAAAGAAAAAGGATTACTTTATCTACTTTATCAATTCCACATTTAATTTTCCCATGAAACTGCAAAGTCCATTATAAATGAATGAATGATTTGGCAAAATGTTTGCAGGGTTAGGATTGCATATTTGCATCTATGTCCGGGTATACAGTTGTACAAAGGGGCAGATCTATTAAACCGGAATAGTGTTATGGCAAATATGTTTATATATTCCAAGGTTAGTTCAGTAAACAGATCTAATATTTCGAATTAAGGAGTTCCAGATAAAAGTTTTGTTTTAAAATTAGAACCACTGTTCAATTAAACTTTGATTATATCTTGCAGTATTAATGCTGTAAAATTAAATAAGTTTAGAGAGAGATAAACAACTTAATGCAGTTGGGAAACCTAAGACCTTAATGACCCCCCCCCCTCTCCCCCCCAACCTTGCTTTCATATATTCAAAGCCCCGATTTAAATTTAAGCAATAATTTTTCTATTTTTCTTCTTTTGTTCTACAGAGACATATGTGCGCTCTTTATACATTTATTTCTGCAGTTAATAATTAGGGTTAGCAACAAAAGATGACGCGGCAAAGACGACCTAAAACTCTTTAAATATGATGATTCCAAGGTAGAATTAAGTCTTCCACATTGATTATAGTTGTTCTATGGGGGGAACCATGATTTGAAGGTAACCATGGTCAGTTCATATTCAGAACAGTCTCTGAAGTTTCATCCTTTGTGGGAAACCCTGCAAGTTATGAAGATTTCAAGAGTCCCAATTAAAATTTAACCATGATAATAAAAGTAAAACTACATGACGACCTTTCCCACAATTCTTGTGTTAATTGGAACACACTGAATATAAGATTATCAAACATCGATCTGAAGAAGTAGCAAAAACTGCACGAGTCCAATTATACTTTATGCTTAGCGGGGAGGGGCAGTAGTAAGGGTATGGGGAAGGTTAAAGGGAGACTAGATAAAAAGGATCAATTAAATGGACTTTAAACGAAATTTCAAGTGATGTGATCCTTAGTTAAAGATGGCAATGTCCGATTCACAACGGTGCCATTGGAACCTTTATCTGATCAATAATGTTGAAGATATAGTCGTTTTTCTAGATATAAAAGTGTTTAATTCTAATTATGTTTTTCTGCAGTAGAAATGCGCAAATTACTTTTGTAAAGAAACCAAAATTGAAGATAATAAGTTTTTAAACTTGTAAACATTGACGTCGAATTCATACTTAATCAGACAAAGCATTTAAAAGTACCGTTGTAAATCGAGAATTGGCATCTTTAAATTACGCTTACAGTCCCTTTAAGTAAGGAGAAAACAGGAAAATTGACAAGAAGTAAGAAATAATGAAAGCAGATAAAGAGAAGGTACTTGGGAAGAAGATGCACAATAGAAAAATGAAGAAAATAGTAATAGATGGAATAGGAAAAAATAAGAAAGAAAGGTACTACTTAGGAATAACAAATTAGGGGAGTGGGGTAGGTCAAGGAAGGAGGGAGATGTAGGATGGCGTAGGTCAAGGAAGGAGGGAGGTGTAGGGTGGGGTAGGTCAAGGAAGGAGGGAGATGTAGGATGGAGGGGGAGAGGGTTATGATTTTCTAGTTGAAGTTAAATACATCTTGGGTAGAATTTGAAGAGTGGTGAAAGGAAAAAGATCAAGAGCCCAGAACTCGCCAAATTAATATGCTCCTACTGTCAAGATTCTACTGGAACCTATAATCAAGTATCAAACATGAAACCCTGCAAGATCTACTGAAACCTCTAGACTGAAAGATATACTGGAACCTCTAGACTGAAAGATCTTCTAGAACCTCTAGACTGAAAGATCTACTGGAACCTCTAGACTCAATGATCTACTGGAACCTCTATACTGAATGATCTACTGGAACCTCTAAACTGAAAGATCTATTGAAACCTCTAGACTGAAAGATCTACTGAAAACTCTAGACTGAAAGATCTACTGAAACCTCTAGACTGAAAGATCTACTAAAACCTCTATACTGAAAGATTTCCTGGAACCTCTAGACTGAAAGATCTAGTGAAACCTATATACTGAATGATCTACTGGAACCTCTATACTGAATGATCTACTGGAACCTCTAGACTGAAAGATCTAGTGAAACCTCTATACTGAATGATCTACTGGAACCTCTAGACTGAATGATCTACTGGTCTAGACTGAATGATCTACTGAAACCTCTATACTGAAAGATCTACTGGAACCTCTGGACTGAAAGATCTTCTAGAACCTCTAGACTGAAAGATCTACTGGAACCTTTAGACTGAATGATCTACTGGAACCTCTAGACTAAAAGATATACTGAAACCTCTAGGCTGAAAGATCTACTGGAACCTCTAGACTGAAAGATCTACTGGAACCTCTAGACTGAAAGATCTACTGGAACCGACTGAAAGATCTACTGGAACCTCTGGACTGAAAGATCTACTGGAACCTCTATACTAAAAGATCTACTGGAACCTCTAGACTGAATGATCTACTGGAACCTCTAGACTAAAGGATATACTGGAACCTCTAGACTGAAAGATCTGGTGAAACCTCTATCTGAATGATCTACTGGAACCTCTAGACTGAAAGATCTACTGGAACCTCTAGACTGAAAGATCTACTGAAACCTCTAGACTGAAAGATATACTGGAACTTCTGGACTGAAAGATCTTCTAGAACCTCTAGACTGAAAGATCTACTGGAACCTTTAGACTGAATGATCTACTGGAACATCTAGACTACATTTATTTCTGCAGTTAANAGACTGAAAGATCTACTGGAACCTTTAGACTGAATGATCTACTGGAACCTCTAGACTAAAAGATATACTGAAACCTCTAGGCTGAAAGATCTACTGGAACCTCTAGGCTGAAAGATCTACTGGAACCTCTGGACTGAAAGATCTACTGGAACCTCTGGACTGAAAGATCTACTGGAACCTCTAGACTAAAAGATCTACTGGAACCTCTAGACTGAAAGATCTACTGGAACCTCTAGACTAAAAGATATACTGGAACCTCTAGACTGAAAGATATACTGGAACCTCTAGACTGAAAGATATACTGGAAACTCTAGGCTGAATGATCTACTGGAACCTCTAGACTGTATGAAAGATCTACTGGAACCTCTAGACTGAAAGATCTACTGGAGCCTCTATACTGAATGATCTACTGGAACCTCTAGACTGAATGATCTACTGGAACCTCTAGACTGTATGAATGATCTACTGGAACCTCTAGACTGTATGAATGATCTACTGGAACCTCTAGACTGTATGAATGATCTACTGGAACCTCTAGACTGAATGATCTACTGGAACCTCTAGACTGTAACCTCAGGAGAATACAATTCTACAAATTCCACCTAAAGTTACTCTACATAAATTATTATTTAATTATTCCAGTAAAAGCACGGCCTCCACCCGCCCCTGGAGAAATTATGTGTAAACGAACCAGAGAAATTAAAAGGGAAAATTATAATTGTTATGAACTCATAAATAAGAAAAGATTTTATCAAAAAGCATAAAAAAAGTAAATCAAGTTTTAAACAGGAAAAAAATAAAGAAGAAAAAAATGTTTTTAATGTGTCCAACATTTGTAATAAATATTTTTAGTGAATATCTAAACCTGTCAAACCAGTTGAATGAAATTTTCATTAAATTCAGATTATGTCCTCCTGTAAAATTTTGATTCTCTATTAACAATCTCGAATCCATCAAATTGAATTTAAACAAAGTTTTAAACTAAAAGGTTAGTATTCAAGACAAGTCTTCTATCCTTCTTAAATCAAGACACACACAGTCAAAATATGTTTAACGGGCTGAGTCAACAAATCTAAATTATGTATGCTTGGATGATACTACACTCTTTTTTTTAACAACTTTTTCACTCTTCAGTTTCTCAATACGTTCTTCAGTTTCTTAAAATGTTATTCAGTTTTTTAATATGTTATTCAGTTTTATAATATGTTATTCAGTTTCTTAATATTTTTTTCAGTTTTTTAATATGTTATTCAATTTCTTAATAGGTTATTCAGTTTATCAATATGTTATTCAGTTTCTTAATATATTATTCAGTTTCTCAATATGTTATTCAGTTTCTCAATATGTTATTAACTTTCTCAATATGTTATTCACTTTCTCAATTTGTTATTCACTTTCTCAATATGTTATTCAGTTTCTTAATATTTTATTCAGTTTCTCAATATGTTGTTCAGTTTCTCAATATGCTATTCAGTTTCTCAATATGTTATTCAGTTTCCCAATATGTTATTCGGATTCTCCATGTTATTTAGTCTCTTAACATGTTATTCAGTTTCTTGTCTGTATATTTTTTCTTTCACAAAAAAGCTTGAATTTTTGTTATTTATTTTGATGATGGTTTATTCGTTAAATTTAACAAATAGAATTTGTTAGATTTTGATTAGCTAGGGTCAATGTTTATTAGAAATAGAAATAGCTAAGTAATGTTTTGTCAAACCCTACTCAGCAGTTTCTCAGGGTTCAAAGTTTAGTACCGACAATAAATATCCTGGTTAATTAACTTCTAAGAATTTAATTTTCCCAGTGAGTTATTCTCAAATATCGCCGAGTAAGAACTAGAAAATTTCCCAACCAGAACTAAAAGTATTAAATATTAGAGATGCAAGGGGTGTATCATGAAACTTCAAGAAATCAAAGATTAACAAGGAATGAAGAGAAGATTAAATTAAAAGTATGATGTGTAAGGAAAAAGCAGAATTACAGGGTAACGAATGAGGATGAGAAATGAAGACTGAGGAATGAAGATAATGAAAGGAAAGGATGGGGTGTGAGAAATGAAGGATGAGAAAAGAAAAATTTAGAATAAAGAAAATGAAAGTAAAGGATGTGGAATTAAAAATGAATGATGAAAAATGAAATATAGGATGAAGAATGAAGGTAATGAAAGGGGGAATGAGAAATGAAGGAGGAAAAAGAAGGATGAGGAATGAAGATAACGAAAGGAAAGGATGAGGAATGAGAAATGTAGGATGAGGAATGAAAATAATGAAAGTAAAGGATGAGGAATGAGAAATGTCGGATGATGAATATGAAAGGAAAGGATGAGGAATGAGAAATGTAGGATAAGGAATGAAGATAATCAAAGGAAAGGATGAGGAATGAGAAATGTAGGATGAGGAATGAAGATAATGAAAGGAAAGGATGTGATGATACGAAGTTTATCTGCTCCTGAACCTGAACCTATAAATCTTGTGAGATCCACTTGATGACCTGAAATTCCAGGCATTCTCCATCTTTCCTTTCAACATTCTTCTACTCGTTTTCTACATATTTCGACAGAAAAGTTTTAAATATTTTTCTTGCATTTGGATCAGAGGGATGGGGGGTAGGGAAGAGGGGGGGGGTGTAGAGTAGATGAAAAAATATTTGAAATATTTAAATGCATTTTTGTAGATGCAGAATTTGACTTTTATTCCTTAAATATAAACTGCATTATAAAAACTACTTCAGCCAGATCCCAATCTTCAGGTAATAAAGAACAAAATTAAACATTAAAAAATTAAGGATTACTTACTTTCTTTATACTGGAGAACATTCTGATGTTTCCTGTAGATACTCAAACACCTCCAACACTTCTCCCCTCCATCCATACCCTAGACAATCAAATAATAAATTAATCAATTAATCAATCAGATATCAAAATATCCTCTAGCCTAATACCTAAAAAATAACTGTTCAACAAAAAAAGTCAAGCATAAATGTGAACAATAAAAACCCACTCAAGTGTTAACAGATTGTAGATTTTTTTCATTTTACTAAAAGATTATTTTTAAAACACATTCGACTTCAAAGGATCTGGTGAAAAGTAAAAAGCTAATATTTGCATCTTTGCTCGATGAAAAAAAAACGGCTCTAAGATCAGATTTAATGAATACCGATAAGACTTGAACTATGTATATCTAGTTCAACTAGTTTTTAGTTCACTATTGGGCACACTAGAGAAGTAATTCAACAATCCGTACTGAGATCAACTACTCTGTCGCTAACCATTGATTCATATTTCTTATAACTGTGTAAAAGATCTACCTGGAGAACATACTGGCTCCCTGAGTTCCAGATACACTCTCCCTTCTCCGTGATTGATTGATTGGTCACCAGGAGAGAACTAGAATATCCAAGATGGAAGTAGGAACCATGCCAAGCAGACGGGAAACTGCATTGGGATCCTGAACAAAAAAATCTTAGAAAATAATAATTTAAGCACATACCAAATTTGATACTCTACTCTTTTGTAATCACTAGGACAAATGGAACTCTACTCCTGAAAAAGAGCTATCACCAGCAAATAATCTAGACCAGGTTAGGTTAAGTCAAGATAGATAGATAATAAAGGGATGTTGTCCTTTATTCAGAAAGAGGCATTTTTATTAAAGACTTGCAACATTTTTTTTTATTTAACTATTTTCAATATTTACGTTCTCTACTTTATGCTGTATTTTATTGTTCAAAAGTTGTGCAATTAACAAGAAACATTTCGGTTTTATTGTATTTATATAAATTGCGTATTTTTCATATCATGGAGAGTAGAGTTGCTCTATATATCCTAGTATTGAATAATAAGGCAATGAAGGATAACAAAATAAAAAAGGTTCGAATCTTTATATACTTTAAATCATAAATTGTCGATAGTTAATAAGTTGCACATAGAGATCATAGTTTAAACAGACTTGCAAGCTATTGTCTGTGTTTTTAGACTTTTCGGTAAATTGAATTACAAAAGAAATTGCCTAGAAACATGGCATTTAAAATATAAAAATTGTATCTACATCCATATATTTTAAGAAACAAGAATATAAACTGTTTACTAAGAAAGAAGATCATTAGTACATCAGTAAAAACATGCTGACATCCACACACATACAATACAAACACAATTGCAGATACATCTGAACTAGATAGATAGATGGATACATGTATAGATAGAAGGATAGATAGACGGATACATAGATAGATAGAAGGATAGATAGACGAATACATGTATAGATAGAAGGATAGATAGACGGATACATAGATAGATAGAAGGATAGATAGATGGATACATGTATAGATAGAAGGATAGATAGATGGATACATGTATAGATAGAAGGATAGATAGATGGATACATGTATAGATAGAAGGATAGATAGATGATAGATTTATAAATGAATATGTCGACTGATAAGATAATCAAATGATGGATAAAAACAAACAATGGACTTGTACAGAATATTCTTCAGAATATAAAATCAAATATTAAATATTTAAAACAGCTTTAAAAAAAAGAAAACATTTTAGTTATTTGCGTCATTCTTGAAAAAAGAATATTGTCAAATATTTTAATACTATTTCAGGTTTAGAGTATAATCCAAGGCACCTGGAGCACTAATAGTTTTTATTCTTTACATTTATTAAAATTAGAATTGTATAGTTACAAGAACTTTATTCTTCTTAATTAAAACTTTGAATATCTTTTTTATGATTCAAGAAAGTAATAAAGTTGCAATTTTAAGACAAGGGGTCAAATTGCCCCCCCCCCCCTGCGTATCCTGGTTTTCAAGTACCCCAGCAGGGATAGGGTTAAATAAGAGCGAAATTTGATCTTTAAAATCCACTTGGATTGTCCATTTTGGAAAATACATTCCAATAATAGATTTTTTTTTTATTATTCAAAAAACAAAGACAAACATGTATAAAAAAATCTACTCTAAACTAAGGACATTCATTGAAGCAGCCTGAAAAATTAAATAATAATGAATTAGCTTATTTCAAAGAATAAGAGTGTATTTTTTTGTTGACCTGTTAGAATACAGGCCATTATTTATCCAAATGTATCATAGTTCATCCCAGCTTATCCAAATTTATCCAAATTTATCCAAATGTTTCCCAGTTTACCCCAATATTTCCCAGTTTATCACAGTTTATCCCATTTTATCCAAGTAACCCCAATCAATCCCGGTTTATATAAAGTTTTCCTCATTTTATCCTTGCTTTTCCCAGTTTACCCCAGTATATTCCAGTTTATCCCATTTAATCCCATTTCACATAAAGGTTACTCCAGTTCATCCCAGTTTACCCCAGTTTATCCCAGTTTGCCCGAGTTCATCCCAGTTTATACCAGTTTACCCCAGTTTATCCCAGTTTACCCCAGTTTATCCCAGTTTACCCCAGTTTATCCCAGTTTACCCCAGTTTATCCCAGTTTGCTCCAGTTTATCCCAGTTTACCCCAGTTTATCCCAGTTTACCCCATTTTATCCCCGTTTGCCCCAGTTCATCCCAGTTTATCCCAGTTTACCCCAGTTTATCCCAGTTTACCCCAGTTTATCCCAGTTTGCTCCAGTTTATCCCAGTTTACCCCAGTTTATCCCAGTTTACCCCATTTTATCCCCGTTTGCCCCAGTTCATCCCAGTTTATCCCAGTTTACCCCAGTTTATCCCAGTGTATCCCAGTTTATCCCAGTTTACCCCAGTTTATCCCAGCTTACCCCAGTGTATCCCCGTTTATCCCCGTTTATCCCAGTTTATCCCAGCTTACCCCAGTTTTTCCCAGTTTATACCAGTTAAAACCAGTTTACCCCAGTTTTTTCCAGCTTATCCCAGTTTATACCAGTTTACCCTAATGTGCCCCCAGTTTATCCCAGTTTACACCAGTTTACTCCAGTTTACCCCAGTGTACCCCCAGTGTCCCCCCTGGTGCCAGCCTCAGTCTAATCTGATTTGAGAATACCCTTTACCAACTGTCTAGAATAGGAATAGGTTGATATTGGTTAGATTTCAGGGGAGTAAATATTCAAACTTTGGTAAAGCTTGATAATCTGACATTGTTGTCAAAATATTAGTTTGTCTTTTAAAAATTGTTGACTGTAGTTCACAGTTTGTAAAAACTTTTTAAGTTTTTAGATTTTCACAAAACTAAATATTAGACAATAAAAAACTTTAGTCATGCACGCAATCTAAATCAGCCAATTGACAGGAAATGTATATATAAAGGTCATAATTCTGCCGATTCTGCCCAATGTGACGAAAATGATATTTCAAAACTACTTTACAATTTTAGCCTGGCAAGTTCATAAGGCACATTTTTTTATCAAAAATACATTTATATTTAACAGTGTTAAAGTTTAAAATTTAAACTTGTTTCCCCTGAGATCCCGGCATCCCAACATTGTTACCTAAATTGATCTGGATTTGTTAAAACTTGGCGGATTTACATTTTCTAAATTCTACTCTTAAACCGAGGAGTTCGTGCATATTGAACAAGTTACAAACATTTCATTTCTTCAACCTATTTCTATTTTTATTTATTCCCTAATATCGTTCCTTTTAGAATGGTCTGGGTTCACCTCGATTGTCTTAAACTTGAAAAACACAAAAAAAAGCCAAAAAAAAAAAATTTTCTTTTAAATTTCTTTATTATAATAATATTAAAAGTTTAGGGTTTTTAATAATGCAAACAAACTAGATATAGTAAAGGATAGATCCAGAGATTAAGAGTGTCCCATTATACATAAGGATATATCCTGAGATACAGGGTGTCCCAGTCTACATAAGGGTAGTTCCAGAAATACAGGGTGTTCCACTGTACATAAGGATAGATCAAGAGATACAGGGTGTTCTATTGTATATTAGGATAGATCCAGAGATACAGAGTGTCCCATTGTACATAAGGATAGATCAAGAGATACAGGGTGTTCTATTTTATATTAGGATAAATCCACAGAAACAGGGTGTCCCATGATACATTAGGAAAGATCCAGAGAACCAGGGTGTCCCATTGTACATAAGGATAGATCCAGAGATACAGGGTGACCCATCGTATATAAGGATATATCCACAGAAACAGGGTGTCCCATGATACATTAGGATAGATCTAGAGATACAGGGTGTACCATTATACATACGGATAGATCAGAAATAAAGAGTGTCCAATCATACATTAGGACATATTTAGAGATACAAGGTGTATATTATACACAAGGATAGATCCGGAGATACAGGGTGTCCCAATATACATAGGAAATGAGAGACAAATTGTAAATCGTTTTTGCTTTACTTTGAATTCTTATGTTAATGGATTTTAAAATATTTCACTGTAAAAAAACTTAATCCTTCCCATCTTGGTATTTCTAAAGTGTGGCCTGTGACCATATTTCAGAGATACTTAAAAGTTTTTGTTTCTCAAACTGATCGTTTTTTGTAGAATTGTCAACAATTTTTGATAACCCAAAACCTGAAATTGTCTCTGAAAAAAAATGAAATTACCTCTATCAAAATTCTTCTCTGTCTATGAAAAATCTGCTCTATGTGTGAAATGTCCTATCTATGAAAAAAGTTCTATCAATGAAATGTAATGCCAATGCAATGTCCTATCCATGAAATGCCCTGTCTATTAAATGTACTATACTATGAAAAGTAGAAATGGGCATCATTTTTGTGAACGAACAAAATTTTTGAGAATAAACTAAAAACGAACAATGGACGAACGACTTGAATTGTTCAGAGAAATTAAGAAAAAACAACCATTTTTCAAACCGAAAGAAAAAAAATAATATATCCGTTCGAACAAATTTGTTTTCCTGAATGAGCAATTGTTTTAAAGATTTTGACAAAAACCATTGTTTTTACTAAACGAACGATATTTTGGAACAAACTTTCTAAAACAATTGTTTTTTTTAACTGAACAAACGATTTTACTGAACAGATGATTTTACTGAACAGATGATTTTACTGAACAGATTATTTTACTTTACAGATGATTTTACTGAACAGATGATTTTACTTTACAGATGATTTTACTGAACAGATGATTTTACTGAACAGATGATTTTACTTTACAGATGATTTTACAGAACAGATGATTTTACTGAACAGATGATTTTACTGAACAGATGATTTTACTGAACAGATGATTTACTGAACAGATGATTTTACTGTATAGCTAATTTACTGAACAGATGATTTTACTTTACAGATAATTTTTATGACCGGACGATTTTACTGAATAGTCAATCACAGTAAAAACCGAACACGCCCATCTCTAATGTCCAATATCTAAGCAATGCCATATCCATTAAATGCCCTGTCTATTAAATGTCCTGCATAATTGCGCCTATTATTACTTATTTTATTTAATATTTTTTTAAAAGTTCTTAAAAAAACTGGTGTTAGTGTAAGTCTGAACTTTTAACCAATAATAAGCTTGAACACATTAGGAAACTTATTTAACAATTTCTTCAATACAACTGGTATCTCTAGTACTTCAGCTAGTGGGGAAACAAAGATCTAACCACAGACTATACAGACTAAATATCTCCTTTCATAGGGTGGGCTACGAGACATGCTACGTATTTACAAAAGAGTGCTATCTCACGGCCACTTGTTGAACTGCATAATACCCATTCATGGGTTAAGTTATACAACTATTAAAGAAATACTCCAATTTTAAACATGAAACATAACATTTATGTATTAGGTCTTTTTTAAGATTTTGTCTTTCTTATCCAAAGGATCCTTAAATATCCATGAATACAATTGTTTGCTGATTGGTCGTGTTCAGTACTTGTACACAATAGAGCATGCTGTGGAAAATATCGCATATTTTAGGTGATAATCAATCTCTGTAACTCTAAAACAAAACAATAATTCTAACTGGTCATGTTAATGTAAAGGCACATATATTATAACAAATGTGCAGATTAAATGTGTATATTTTAATTTACTTGCTTGCTGCTTTTAAACCATGAAGTTATTCTTAACTCTACGGGATACCATCAAACGACTTCAGTCACACAATGTAATTGTTTACTATTCTAGATCTACGCAATAAACAGTAAATTAGATCTACACAATAAATTGTTTATTAAACTAGATCTACACAACAAACTATGTATTGAACTAGATCTACACAATAAACTGTTTACTAAATTAGATTTACAAAATAAACTGTTTACTAAACTATTTACTATTCTAGGTCTACGCAATAAACTGTTAATTAAATTAGATCTACACAATAAACTGTTTATTGAACTAGATCTACACAAAAAACTGATTACTAAATTAGATTTACAAAATAAACTGTTTACTAAACTAGATCTACACAATAAACTGTTTTTTTAAACTAGATCTACACAATGAACTGTTTACTAAACTAGATCTACACAATAAACTGTTTACTAAATTGGATCTACAAAATAAACTGTTTACTAAACTAGATCTACACAATAAACTGTTTACTAAACTAGATCTACACAATAAACTGTTTATTAAACTAGATCTACACAATAAACTGTTTATCAAACTAGATCTACAAAATAAACTGTTTACTAAACTAGATCTACACAATAAACTGTTTTTTAAACTAGATCTACACAATAAACTGTTTATTAAACTAGATCTACAAAATAAACTGTTTACTAAACTAGATCTACACAATAAACTGTTTATTAAACTAGATCTACACAATAAACTGTTTATTAAACTAGATCTACACAATAAACTGTTTATTAAACTAGATCTACAAAATAAACTGTTTATTAAGCTAGATCTACAAAATAAACTGATTATTAAACTAGATCTACACAATAAACTGTTTATTAAACAAGATCTACACAATAAACTGTTTATTAAACTAGATCTACAAAATAAACTGTTTTAGCTACGCTCGGTTTGATCACAAACTAGTTTAAATAACTACTTTATTAACTTGACTAAAAAACTATATAAATTTACTTTGGAAAATCATATATCTTAAAACTAGGTGACGTGGCAGGAAATGCAAGAGCAGCTTGCCGCGTTCAAATATCCGGCTTCAGGTTGGATCGTCTTCCGCCACAAAAAAAAACAGTCTATAGTGTTGGAACGAACAGTCTATAGGAGCGAAAGACTCGGGGTCACCAAATTTAGCTACGCTCGGTTTGATCACAAACTAGTTTAAATAACTACTTTATTAACTTGACTAAAAAACTATATAAATTTACTTTGGAAAATCATATATCTTAAAACTAGGTGACGTGGCAGGAAATGCAAGAGCAGCTTGCCGCGTTCAAATATCCGGCTTCAGGTTGGATCGTCTTCCGCCACACTGTTTACTAAATCTAATGGTTTATTTAATGATTTGGTCAAGAAACAAACAAGTTTACAGGTGTAGGGAAACGTTAATAACTGAAGACAGTATAAATTCCGTACAGTCGTCTCTGAAGTCTCATCCTTTGTGGTTAACCTTATATATGTGTTTCCATTCTTCAGAAAATTAGAAGCCTTATGCTTCAAAGCATGGGATAAACTATGAGATGTTTATTTTTTTGTAATAAATACAAATCTTTGGAAATAAACGCGATCAAGAGCTAAAGTGATTAGCTTTCAGCCTATACCCCTTTCATTTTTCCTTTACAGTCCCTTTAAGCCAACTTATCTAATCAATAATGTTGAAGATATTCCTGTTTTTCTAGGTTTAAAAGTGTTTAATTATGATTTTTCTTAAATAATTTTCTGTATAGCATAGAAATGAGAAGACACTTTTATAGAGAAACCATAGTATTTTAAACAATCATATTCAAACAATACATTCGTATATATATATATGTTGTTTATAGCCGGCCAAATGGCTAGACCGATTGGGCTG